AGGTGTTCAAAAAATGTGTAGATGTGGCACTTCAGGATATGGTTTAGCAGGCATGGTGGTGTTGGGTTGGCAGTTGGACTTGATGATCTTAGAGGTCTTTTCCAACCTTAATAATTCTGTGATTCTAAATATCCTAACTACTGGAATTCCCGTCCTGTTATTTCATGGGCTCAAACCTGTGTTCATAATCTTAGAAGACACAGAAATTATTTAGAAATAAGTACTAGCAGAAATAGTTTAAAAACTCGTAAAGAATTTCCTGTTTGGTTGCAGTTAAACATAAATGGGATCTTTGTGCTCTGAAGACCAGCAGTTTATGGAAATATTTCAGAAAGAATGTGTTATACAAATTGCTATGGAGACCTGTTCATAGATAAACCTAATGTGCTGCTTCCTTTGCTGGCCCCTTAGTCTCAGGTGATGTCAATATTAGTATAAGAGTTCTAATACCTTCCAGGAGCCAATTGTTAATTAGCAAACAGCATTATTAGCATCTCCCTCCTTCTGAAGGAGCTTTAATCATCATCAGAGGATGCAGTAATTACAGTAATCAAAAACTTTGGGGGAGGACCCACCATTGACCTGAAGACTTCACACTGATCCAAGACCCCTGACTTTGATCTTGGTTTTCTCAAAGACATCTTCCCCCAAAGCCACATAGGTCTTATCCATTGGGAAGACCACCTACATGAGGTTGGGTATGGTTCAAAGCATTCTGCTGATACAACAAATTGTGTATCCAGACACCGTTTTCCCAGAATTTCTGTGGCTTATATATTTAGCTTGTACCAGTTTAAAAGAAGCCTAGGGTCATTACACTGGTACCTTTGTACTGATCTGACTCTTGAAATCCTGTATAGAAAAATGGTAAAAGTAACATCTGTGCGAAAGGAGAGGGAAACTGAGCACAAGTTTGTTCATATTATAAGATGTAGATAATGTCCATCATCCTATTCACAGTGAAAAGTTCCTCACAGGTTGTTCAAACTCACCTTTGGGTAGTTTTGCAGACTGCGACAAAATATAAACACAACATACGGTGTTTGAATTGGTGAGAGAGATCCGTTGCCTGGCTTTGCTTTACCTAAGGATTGTCCTCAACGCTTAGTGGTATTAACATACCTTAGTAAAGGGCAGCCTTGCGCTGTGGTATCCTGGGTGCGCTCACGCATAAACCCTACTGCATTTCTGCTGCTGTAACCACAATCTCATGTAGAACTGCATTTGCATATGGCAGGATCCTTATATTCAATTCCATAGGATGGACCAATGACAGCATCCAGCTCTTCTTGGACTCGCTCTGCAGAATGAAAGGACTGACAATGACTATTCAAGAAGGCAGCTGATGTGTGGATTCTATGAAGAAACTCAAAATTTCCAAGACACCTTACGCTGCAGGACTAGGGCAGCTGAGTCAACTGCATTTTGCCTGTTACCCTGCCACGAACAAGGACAGCGACACGTATAAGTGCAGATACACACATTCTCACCTTGTACTTCCAGATACAGCATCATGGAGAGCTCAGCATAAAGTGATAGTGGCAGTGTCTGAGCTCACTATGGAGAGATCTGTGATCACTTGCACCATGTTGGTCTCTCTGAATGTAGAGAGTGTGTCATCCTTTGCTTGCAGATATGAGACAGTCAATGAAATTTAAGACTGTTTTAATAGCATAGCAGATTTCCAGCAACTGACCCTTTTTCATTGCAGTCTATACTGCATTGATAAAGCTGGTAAGACAGCAGCCACATAGGGAAGACGGCATACAATAACCTTACTTTCCGTTTAGGGTGGAAAAACATTACTCTGTGGTGACTGCCAAGGAACATTCTCAGTACCTTCACAAAGTGCTTTGCTTTTGAGGTTGAATTCAAAGAAAGAAATAGCTCAACAGTCTCTCAGGAGGAAAAGGATGAGAAGGAAGTAAGAGTGCAGCTGGAAATACCTTAATTACAAGGGTTTTAAATATGTTGCAGCTGCACAAGAGACTATTACTTGTTACCTTCAACATCTGAGCTAGGTATGCATCAGTGAAGTTCTGTAGCTCTGCAGGCAACCAGCTCTTCTGGTGGTTCCTGATCTCATCCTTAATAAGTGTTCATAGATCCTGCGTTAGTGCCACCAGCAGTCTCATTAACACAATGCTTAAGTGCCTCAATGGTGATGGGAAAGTGTTGTAGAGCTGCACATGGAAATACAAGCACAAGGAACACCATGACATCTTGGCTTCATAGTGCATTTAAAGCCTGAAAGTTCGCAGCTGAACGATGCCTAACTGTTGCTGTGATCCAGATGTATTGCTTGTCTGACTATAGGAAATGAATGACCACTGAAGTTTTTAAAAAATTATCTTGGAGAGAAGGAGTGTGTGAAAGATGACAGTTACCATACAGTTAACTTTTCAGATTGCCTGCTCTCCATTAGCAGCTTTCAGATTTGGGGGATTTAAATGCCCTTGAGTGCAGTTTTTCATATGTTTTCTAACTGAAGTATTTCTCAAATGACCTGTTCCCTCCTAAATCTTAAGTCAACTCTTGGCTGTAGTTCTCAAAGCCACAACCATGTTAGCTTGTCCTATTTTTTCTAGATGACTTTTGCAGCCCAAACTAAGACAGGAAATCAAGGCTATTACAAAACCCTTCAAGGCACAAGCTAGGAGGAAAAACCCGATTCTGGCCCCAGGGCAAACTTCATGCTGAACAATACCAATGTAAAGTCAGATCAGTCTCTCTGAGGGGAGCTATTACAGGAGATTCGATGGGCCGGTAGCTAAAGCAAGCCAGGAATGGCCGCGGAGTGATCATTATTGAGAAACAAAGGGACAGAAGTGAGTGCCAGTTTTAGCAGAGTTCAGTGTTTACTCAAGAATTCTTCTTCCTCTCAGTGCTTTGGCAAAGGTTGTCCATTTCATGCCACAACTCACTGAGGAACACTGTTGGGTTTTGATACAGTTACAGGGAACGGGTCAGTCCTTGCTCACCCGAGGACAGGAGGTGCCGTGGATTTCTGCCATGGCCTTGGAGCCTCTGAGCAGGCTCTGGCACATGGCAGCCTCTGCAGAGAAGCAATGTCGGAAAAGCACATCAGCAATCATGTTGTTGATGGAAGGAGGGAGTGGGACAGAGAGATCCATGTCTACAAACAGAGAAAGCTGCATCATTAACTTCTTTTATGGGCTATGACCCTCTATTACACTGAGGTCCCATCCAGCCTGCTCTTGATTTGCATGGGATTACACAAATAGCTGAGCCTGCAGGAATCAAGATGCAGGAGTCTAACTGGGAGATTTTTCCTTTATCACACCTTTATAATGAGCGAGGGACAGATTCCATCCTGTAGAAAAGTGCATAATCAGCACAATTTAGGAGTCTCTCATCTGTCACTTTCTCCCACAAAGGATTAGCATGAAAGCAATGAGTCAGGTGTGGTGTTCCAGCCAAGTGAAAAATGAATTGTGCAAGCATCAGCTGTGTAAACCTCCCATCAAACCTACTGCAGAAGTTGCAACTTTGAGTAGAAAAAGCAGAACTGGAAATAAATAGAATGAGCCTATGTCATGACGACATAAAGGTCTACATTTCACCTATTTCTCTGGCAAAGACCCCAGTCAGGCAGCAAGCTTCCTCCTGGATCCAGGCTTCCAGGCTTTTCTTCCCCAGTCCTAGGTTCTTCAGAGTCATTAGGCTGAACTGTCTGCTGCTTCCACGTGTACCCGTTGGCAAAGATGATGCCTGCAACAAAATGGAGAAGGACTGGGGAGAAGTGTGGGACTGGCATCTCCATAAGCAGGGCTGGTGAAACCATAGTGGTTCCA